ATCAAAAAGTGAGTTATTCCATGTAATGCTGACAGAAAACCTGAACTCTACTAAAATGAGACAGCCACAGTTTGAAGAATAAGTCTTCATCAATTATGTGTTGTTTCTATCAGTAACATACGTGCTAGAGTTCTGCATTTTGTTTTCTCCTGAGCGACTCTACAGTGTGGCTCCCTTTATTTCTACTCTTTAGGCAGCACAAGTAACCGCTCAAGTACACGGAGCCTCCTCAGTGTGAGCAGCGGGATGGAGGGCGACAATGAGGTAAGAGCCAGGGTCCTCACCCCATCTGTCTTGTCCTATGGGTCATTTCATTGCAAGAGATAGAAATTCAGGGAAAGAACCCACACAGAAGAAGTCACATAGTGTCTGTTGTAGAATTCCATTTATATGAAATATTTAGAACGGAAAAATCCGTAGAGACAGAGTATGTATTGGTGTTTGGCAGGGGCTGGAAAGAGAAGGGAATAGGAAGAAATTAACTGCTGAATAGATGCAGTGTTTCCTTTTGGGGTTATTGAAGTTTTGAGACTAGATCGAGTTGGTGGTTGCACAACACTGTGAATTCACTCAATGCCACTGAATTGTTTACTTTAAAATGTTTGATTTTATGTTATGTGAATTTTGCCTCAGTAAGAAGAAAGGAAGCAGGGTGGAAGGCAGGGAGAAAGGAAAGAGACAGAAATCTGCTCAGGTAGTGGTATCTATGAAAAGAATGTAGTGAGTCTCAGGGACTCCAAGGACAGGGATCATGCCAAGGTCTAGATTAGGGGCCAGAAGGGATGCCAGGGGGAGCCAAGGACATTGTTTCCTATGTCCCAGGGCCAGTGCTGTTGTCTGTGATTTTCAGTGCACACCTGCTTTCTTCCTGCCCTGCCCACTGGCCTTTTCTGTGTAGTGGCATAGTCTCTAGCAAGCCAGAAGGCCTTGAACTGAGAGGAAGCTGCTGCTTTGGGCTGAGGCCCCATTCCAAGTTGGCTGAATCTGGGCAAGCGTCTACCCTGATCCAAGGACCAGTGGCTGGAAGAAACAGGAAGGCCCACCTCAGTCACCTCCAACCCTGAGGGCTCCTGAGAGCAGGTCCCAAGGAGAGCATTTGTGACAAGCTTCTCTGGTGTTGACAGTCATGGACCATGTTTTGAGTTCAAAAGATGGATTTAGAGTTCAAAAGATTCGTGAGAATCTGGGCTCGCCTTCTTAGCAACAACAGGAAGACATGGAAGGCTGCTAGGAGGTCTGGGTTGATTGCCAATCTGTAAGCACTCTGCAGCCAGAGCCTGAAGAAGGCTGAGGGCCTTCTGGGATATGGGTGTCCAGCTGTGCTGGTTGCTTCAAGAAATTTTCACCTTTTTTTCTCATCTTATTTGCTGTAGGACAGTGAAGTCCCAGAAGTTACCAGAAGCCGTAGCCCAGGCCCCCAGCAAGTGGATGGACCACACGCCATGCCCTCTGAGAGGCCCCCCAGGGTGCCTCCTCGAGCTGCCTCACAGAGGTAACATTGAAGCCTATAGGAAATTTTTTCCTCACACTCTGAATTCCAGAAAGAGTAGGATTTGGGGACACCTGAGGCAACCCAGGAATGAGACACAGTGAACTGAAATTCCTACTTTTGACATATTTCAGTGTGGGCTTTTCATGTAGGTGATACCTTACTCAGTTAAGTGACAAATGCACTATTTCATAAATGAAATACATAGGCACATGTCAACTTTTAAAGTAATTTTTATTGCATGGTTTCTGTTTTTTTTTAGTTTATTAGTATGTATGTTTACATTCCTTGTGGGAAGTTGGTACATGCACCTAACACATCGTAATTTCTTTTTTATTCCCTTTCCCTTCTACCCCTTCTCCCCACCACCACATCCCTTGATCCTCTTCCTTTGTGTGTGTGTACATGTTTGCAGTACATAATGTGTACATGCCTTGTATGGAGTTTGTAGATGTACATGTTCCTTCTTTTCATCCCTTATCCCATCCCTTCCACCCTCTTCCCTCTGTCTCTATTTTTGTGTTTGGCTGGAAATAAGTTCCCTAGTATCAAATTCCCTTGGCTGTGCTGTGGGGAGGTGTCTTTTGAGGAACAGGCAATAAGAAGGACTTGGAGGAAGACATGCAGATGAAGCAGGCTGGGATACTGATGATGAGCCTGGCTCCAGAGCTACCCACTTGGGGTCACAAATGTCCAGAAGCCAGTGCTGGACTTAGTTAACTTTTAGGTGCTTCAACATTGTGTATAAAATGGGGTTGCTAATAGAACTGTGGTAAGACCTCAACGACACGAGTGGGTTTATATATATATATACAGGAAAGAAGTAAACATCTGGAGATTTGGAGATGAGTATTAGATTAAAGAGAGTGACTGATTTCCTGGGCTCTGATGCATGTCTTTGTTCATATAGTATTTGGGCCTTTGGCAAGAACCTTTTTATGGTCTTGTGGAGTAACAGAAAAAGTGTCAAAGCTAGCTAGTGTGTCTGCCAATGCAGAAAAGACTAACTAGGCTTGTCTCAGGAGTTTGATGTTTTGATGATTAAAACATAATATGCTGAGGAGGGGAGACTAAGAAATAAAGAAGTATTTTTTTCAACCAGGACATTTTTTTTGCATTCTGAATCTTGTAAACTAAAGCTCATCAGTGAAATTTGTTGACAGAATGCTGCAAGGCAGATTTTCTGGTTTTCTAGAAAAAGAGACTGAGTTTGAACTTTTCCACTTCTTCTTTTGCTATTTACCAGTTTTCTCTGTGTTCCCTACAACATCTGTGTACTGTTGCTACATGAACCATCCCAAGTTATGTTTCCCGGGTATATCCTGGAAGGCACATATTAGAATATTACTTTCACACAGAGTAGAAGTAGTCCCGTCCTGAATTTCCATTAAGTCCTATTGCTTGAGAATTGCTATAGTAGATGATTGAGGAGGCACCTTACCAAGAACATTTGTAGTAATGAACATCACTGTTTAATGAGGGAGGTGGGAGGTAAGTCAAACACACAATCATCTTGTTTAATTCTCTTCAGAACCCTAAGAGGTGGGAATGATCACATTTTACAAAAGTGTGTGGAAACTGGGATTTGGTGTTGGGTGAAGACTTGCTCTGTGTGACAGTCTTTTGGTCTTTGTGTTACATCTGCTCCAGAAAGTCTATGTGTCAGGGAAGGAGATCCAAAATTCAACAATTTTTATTGCTGAAGACTGAGGGCTTCGGAGGTAGTTGTCTAATTGTAATAAGAAAAAAATTCTCAAGATTGAAACTACAGCTACAAAGATTCCATAGGATTTTGTTACTAGAAGAGAAAAAAATTATTAAGGGAATGAGTTCTAGATATTAAAGGACAGAAATTAGATAATTTAAATATGTGAAAAAGAGAGGATAGATTAACTATTTGGGGAGTCTGGAAATATACTGGGATAAAAATGGGGAGAGAAAAGGAGAAAAGTACTTTTGCTAAAGGAAGTATCTGAGCTGGGCACAGTGGTACAGCCCCGTAATTCCAGTTACTTGGGAGGCTGAAGCAGGAAGATTGCAAGTTCAGCATCGGCTGAGGCAAGCGAGGGAGACCCTTGTCTCAAAATGAAAAATAAAATTAAAATGGGGGCGTGTTGGTGTTAGAGTTAGTGCTTGAACGGTTGCCCAGCATAAATGAGGCTCTGGGTTTGACCCCCACCCAGTATCACAGAGGAGGAGGAGGTAGCAGAGGAGAAGAGGAGGCAGCTGGTTGTGTGGTAGCTGGTGGTGGTGGTTGTGGGGATAGAAGGAACAGTATTTGCAAAGAAAGTTACAGTTGAAGTAGTTTGAGCTTTATATTCATTTCTGGTGTGAAAAAAGATTTCTAAGGATGCAGTTGTGTTGTATGTATGCAATTTTCCTAATAAAATGAGGCAATCTTTGAGCAGGGAATAGAGCAAGCCCCTTTCCAAATGGCTTGGCTGGCTGATGGGCTGAAAGGAGGGGGCTGTGCCTGGTTTCACCTTGACCTGGGAATTGGCAGCCATGTTCTCCTGACCCCTCCCCCTCCAACAGCACTGCTGAGTGCAGCCTTCACCCTACTCATCATTCTAGTCAGTTCTAGTCTAGTCTTCTGCGTACTCTGCATGCTACAAACCAGAGCCTGAATTTCTTTATGGCTTCCAAACCTCTATCTCCAACTTCTACTTACTGCCGTTCACCGGGGATCTTCACCCAATGTCTCATAAGCGTCTCAGACACAGCCTGTGCAAAACTGAGTTCCTCAGCCTACCTGCCATCCTCTGACCCAAGCTGCCACCTTCTCAGGAATTCCCATCTTGGGCTTGAGCACCATTCTCTTCCTTCCCTAAGCCCCAAGTGCAAGAGCGTGTCTCTCTTACAGCTCTCACCCTTGGCTACTTTGTCTGCAGGCTCTACCCATTCTCCTGCCCTTTCAGCTCTTAGATCCACCTCCTCCTTGCCATCTGCTAGTGCCAAGTTCATCCTTGGAGGCCCACACTTACCTCCCTGCCTCCAGTCAGTCCCTCCTTCACACTGAACCAAAGTGCACTTTCTAGAACACAAATAACTGATGATATCATTTCCTGGCATAAGAACCTTCAAATTTAATTCTGTGTGTTTTGGTGTGTCCTGGCTTGCTCAGCCTCAAGTCTTACCTCTTCCCTGTGCTTTACCCCTTAGGATAGCTGTGCTGTTTTGTATTCTTTACCCAATCTGTTCCTTTTGCCTAGAATGCTTTCTACTTCACTTCCAATCTCTACTTAGAACATTTTTATACATCCTTTAGGATTCACCCTAAACATCACCTTCCCTGATGTCTCCATGCAGAGCCCCCCACCTCCTAGAATGTCTATTCTAAGACATTTCTCATTGCAAACCTTGCTTACCTGTCTGTCTCTTCAAGTGGTAGTAAACTTCATGAAAATAGAAACTATTTTTTATTTAATTTTTTTTTCTATTTTCCCAGTGTTTGCACATAAGAGGGACTCAATAAATGTTTATTATGTAAATGAAGGGATAGATGAAGGAATGAATTCAGGGTTGGACTTTATTAGCCCTTAAACAATTAGCCCAGTGCAGGTGGGTTATAGATGGTGGAGGAGACTTCCCATTCCCAGCTGCTGTGAGTTCTCAATATATTCAGCTGAAGAAACAAAGAAAGGAAGATGATGATAAGAACAAAAGCAGATGCATTATATCTTGGCATGGAATTTCCCTTGCTGCTTAGTCCTTATAGATGGGCAGCTGACAGTGCTATGCTCTGTACTATTGTCGTGCCACCACTAAGGGGAAAAAAGCCAAATTTTTACTGAGCCATTGTCTGTTTCAAACTTATTTTGCTGTTCCCTGGTGATTTTCTATCACTAGTGATCATGCACTCCTACTCCCAGCAAGGCCTGTGCACTCTTACCAAGGACCTGCTGCTGGAGGCCTCCTTCTGTTTGATGATGTGAAGAGACCTGTGGAGTCCCTAAGAGGAACTGGAATGCCACGATGCAAATGGACTTGGGATAGAGCTATTTTTAATTAATAGAGAAGTTTAAAAATTATGTTAAACAATATGTATGACTATACAAAAGCATATGACTGAAGCCCTGCTATTTTAAAAGGAAGTTAACCAACTTGCTTGATTGCTTGATTCTTGAATCAAACTCACCATCAGTAATACCTCACCTCCAACAGAGAGAAAGCAGCCAGTGCCCAAGTATCATGGGACAATCATCTACACCTTCAGCTTTCCAGTGTTCTGGAGAAGTGGTCTCTCCACAGGCCACCCTGCTTTGGATTTAGTACCCCTTTACTTCCCTGGTTCTGCTATATCTAAAATAACAAATCCATTGAGGCATCAAACTCTTGCTGGAGTTGCTCATCACAATGAAACAGAGCTGGCATAATAGCAGGTACATCCCAACTGCAGATTGGGCAGCAGAATGAGAGAGGGGAGCATACAGGGAATCATGATTATCTTGGAGAGGAAGGTAAAATAGGCTCAAGGGAGAAGATCTTATAGTAGACCTTTAAGTCTTAGAAAAAAATGATTAGCATTACCTCTTGAGTGCCTACTCTAAGCCAGAACCTGTGCTACCTACTTTCCTACTGTAATCTCCAAGTCACACATATGCTAATGTAGCTTTTATTACCTCCACTTGGCAGACGAAAAAAGAGCTTAAAGCAGTTAAACTTGCACACATCTGTGTGTGCATAAGCATCACTGTTAGATATTCCCACAGGTTCTGAACTTCCTTGTTAAAACACCCTATACTGTTTTCTGATTTTTGCCTATCTGTCTCATGTACACATCCACAGTATCATAAGAGCCAGGTCTTTGACAGTTTTAACTACTGTTATACAACAGATGCCGGAGTAGTTGCACAGTAGACAAATGTTTGTTGAGAAGAAAGAGAGTTTGAAGAGCGATTCTTGAACTGGCTTGTGTAGTAAGTGGTATCAGCTAACTGCCCTGCAGCATTCTACTATAAGCCTGCAGTTTATAGTGCAGTTTGAGGAGACAGAGGAGATTGCCTTTTTGTTTCACTGTATAAAGCTCAGTCACTCAATGACAAATAGGGATTGGAGCAAGACCTCCTGAAGATTTCTGTGGTTACTCTTTGCTACTTCTGCCTTCCTTTCCTGTTCGTAAGACAGCCCCCTTTTTCCCAACTCTGTTTTCATTTCCTTGACCTACACATAAGTAATTCAGAAGACATTTAGTAAATATTTACTCACTGACTCATTCAATCCTTGAGCATGCAACTCTGGGGTAGCACAATTCAGTTACAGCACCTGACAAAGCTCTCTTTCTGGACTTATTGACTTGCTTCCCAGAGAATTAAATATTGGTTTTACAGCACACATAGGGAAATGCCATCTGCAATTGTTGAACCTTTCTGTAAACAGACTCACCTAGTCTACCTGGAGTATCACTCAGGATTAAAAAATCATCCAGAATAACATGGAGAGGAACTTCTAGGAAAGCAAATGCAGAAATGCAAAAACATAGTGATCCCATGAGGAAATAATTGTTGAGAAGCAGACTGGAAATTGTCAATTCCTCTCCCAACAGGCCTGCCTCACATAGCAGGGCTCCTGCCTGGCTGCCTATTGAATCACTTATATTTTAACATCTAGGTTTTATTACTACTTAAGTGCGATAAGGTCAATAGATTAGGAGACAATTGCCTTTGAAATGCTGCTATGTTAACATGCACAGTTCCCAAGAAGAGGGGACCACTACCTTGGGGGAAAGTGTTACACAAAGCAACAAAGTTGGTCAGGAGCAGAGGAATGGAAAGGAAGACAAGGGCAAGGGTAGGTGAGTGGATTTAGTATTGAATAGTTTGGATAATTTTAGTGGGCTTTGGTGCATTGCAGCTGTCTCTAGTTGTCTGGTACCTGATTCTGGGTGGTAAGGGCAGGTTGGATAGTGGCTCCAAGGAGGTGGCTGGGCTCTGAGTCCAGAATGAGTGGTTTGTATATCAAAGGCCTATATGATGCTTGTAGACAGACAGGCAACTTGGTTAGGAATTAGTCAAGCATTAGCTATTCCTGGGAGGGGTGGACCCACCAGGATTAGCAAGTCCCCAAGAGGGCAAAGCATCAAAAAACAAAAGACATGGTTGTCAGCACAAGTGGCTGGGCAAGGGACATTATTTAAATAGTCTTGATGCTTGAGCCCTATGCTCTAGAGATAGAATGTGTCTGAGACAGAGCCTGGAAACTGGTATTTTTTAAACTCCACTGATGATTCTATTTTACTTTTTTTTTTTTCTGCACTGGGAATCAAATTCACGATCTCACGCTTGCCAGGCAGGTGCTGAGCTACATCCCCAGTCCTTTTACTTACTTTTTTAAAGATGGGGTTGTCCAAGATGTCCAGGGTCACCTCAGACTTGCAATTTTCCTTTTCCTAATCCAAGAATCTGGGATTACAGGTATCACCACCATGCTTGGCTGCTCCACTGGTGATTTTAATGTACAGCTAGAATTGTGAGTCACAGCTGGCATGTGTGTCACTCAGATATTCAGAGTGTGTTGTTTCTTGAGTAACGTGCCCTTTTACAGTATACCAAGTTTGCTACAAGTTGTAGATGCCCAAGAAATACTTATGAAATTAGTTTCTAATACAGTTGCTTTATCTTTCATTTCAGGCCTCCAGCCAGGGAGACCTTCCATCCTCCTCCACCTGTTCCACCCAGAGGTCGCTGATTCCATCTCCTAAACTCTGCCTACTTCAAAACATTAAGACTTGCAATTTTCAGCCTGTTAATGATGTCTTCATGTTGCATTTTCTGGTGTTAATATTGACCTTAAGATCCACTCTCATTGCTGATATTGTTGCAGTTCTGATGGTTTGGGTTATCCCTGAAGAAGACATTATCAAGGCATGAAAGAGTGAACAATTAAAGACTCTGTTCACCATCATCAAGAATACTGATCCGTATTCTTGTTTGCCAAAAACAAACAAGCAAACCAGACTTAATCAGGATACTTACCTCTACTTTCCCATATCTGAAGCCAAATAAGATTGATTAGAAATGTACTTACAGGTGATTATACTGCAATGCACTTATATTACTCCTCATGTGTTTGCTAGTCCGGCCTAATTTCTAGAAATGATTATGGTGTAGGACTTACAGTATTCAAGTAAGAAAATAAGTGGCCTAATTTTAAAATAATTCTTCTGCTTGCCCGTGTATTTAAGAGGGTCACATACAGCAAACTGATAAAGACCTTAGAAAAGGATGAGTCCTAACTTCTCTTGTATGTAAGGCAAATCTGAGGTCCCATAGAAATTTAGAACGAAGAGTTCTCAGTTATTTAGAGGAAGAGATCTGGACCTATTGGTTTTAGGTCACCATACCTTCCATATACAGCAAGCTAATTCCTCTTTTCTTTAAGATATGCCCAGCTGTAGAAATTCATCAGTAAGGCTGGGCATGGTAGCACATGCCTGTAATCCCAGCACTTGGGAGGCTGAGACAGGAGGATGGCTGTGAGTTCAATGCCAGCCTGGGCTACAAAGGAGTTTAAGGCCAGCCTGTACTGCACAGTGAAACCTGTCTCAAAAGAAAAAAAAAAAAAAAAGAAATTGATCAGTGATTTTAAGCCTTCTTGAAGTTTCTCCTTTTCACATCTCCCAGACAGGTAGCTACCAAGTACTTTCTTCAGTTTGGACACTTATACCTCAGTATGCTTTTAGAAACATTGATTTTGCCAAGGAACAATGAAAATGGTTAGAACTAGAAGCATAGCATTACAAGGACCTCACTTACTTGCTCTATTGCCTTTTAAGTCTTTGTTCTGGCCATAAAGAGAGAGAAAGATCCTTAATTATTTTTCTCTGCTAAGGGATCTGAAAAGGAAGAACCTACAATAGAAATACTTTGAATATTTTATTGTATTTTATTCTTATATTAAAATAAATAGAAAACATAAAATTCAAAGTACTCACGAGAAACTTGCGTGTCATGATTGTGATGCACTTGGGTCAGGGGTGGAACTGATGGAGAGCAGCAAGTTAAAAATATCAAGACTTATGTCCTCTGTAGATATCTGTTGAACATCCAAGCTGGCTGATTGTGCATAAAAGAAGAAAAGGAAAGAATCTAGATGAAAAGAAAAAAAGGAAAGAATCTAGGATTATGTTATCAAAGAATGTTTCTAATGGTTAGGAAAACTGTTTTATTCTCTATAAAAGCTACCACCCATTGTCACATAAATTTACTCAGCTTCCACATACTAACCACATTTGTACACATTTTATAGGAATACTGGAATATATGATATAATAAAAACTGGAATTCAGTATAGTGAGGATCAGAAACTAAACTATAAGCAGGTATCTAAAGAGAATGTTATAAAGTCTTCTCTATGATGCTTTGGGACACAGTTCTGCTGCCACTTTTCTTTGTAATTTTTTACAAGGTGGCTCAATAGCAAGTGAGGCAGTTGGTCATATTCACTGCAATTACATTTTTCCTTAACCACAGAAGGTACAGTGGCTTCTAATTCCTAGGCCAAATTGTTCTGTCACTGTATATTGAAATGCAGGGGGAGATAACCCAACCATATAAGCAACAAAGTGTGAAGACTGAGAGACTACAAAGAGGTTGATGTTGTGATCAAATTATTTAACTTGACATACTTAATAATGTGAATAAGCTTTTGTGCTTAGCCATTATGACACAAAGTGAGATTATGGAGATGATTTTATTGAATATTTTTACATGTTAAGCTGAGTTACCTCCCTTCCTTTTCTTTGGTTTGTTATTTTAAAAAAAGCCTGTAGTCTGTTTAATATCACTTCAATAGCTAGGATTTTTAGATCTCTCTGTCACATGCTCCAGGAAGTGAGTTGCTTTTCTCTGCACCTCCCTCACAGAATAGTGTATGTTTTTACAGCAGCTTGGTGGAGGACACATTATTAACAAATTTATTTCTGAGAAAAGCAAGTGGATAATTTGGATAATTCTAAAAGATTCATCTTACACCATCAATCTTCAATATTGAAGAATCTGCCTGTATAAATATTTGCTTTGGTTTAATAAATAATGTTTATTTCCAAGGAAGTTATAAAGAATATAAAATAAGTCTTCATTCATTCCTGTCGAGATCCTGTGCTTACCATGGTACTCAGAAGATGAGTAGGAGGCTGAAAAATGTATTCTGAATCATGAGGCACACTTGGAATTCATTTGCTTGTAGGAGCATTAAAAAAAGTTCCCAGATCCCCAAGGCTCACGTTAAGCCACTGTATAGGAGAAAGTGTCTTATCTATTTTCATGGTATGAGCATGGTGTAGGGAAGGGAATGTTGGTTTGCAAGTCAGGAAGCTTCAAGTTTTGGATTGCTAATAACTTGAATTCACATAATTTGACTATGTAACCACATAGGTCTGTGTTTCATCATCTGTGAAGCAGAGTTTTATATTTGGTAATAGTCCACATCCTTTCAACACTACAAGCTTAAGGCTAAGGTTAAGGCTAAGGCAAAGAGTGGAGAATCTTGAGGGATACCTTCACCTAGATCCCAGGTATCTTTTTAAAATCATGTTATAGCTACTGTTGTTCGCCTTTTATCTTCATTATAATAGATGTTTAAAAAATGAGTGGGAGATAGTGAAATATAAATGACCTAAATTGGCCTTACTTGTTGTTCAGTCCAAGAAGCAAATGTTTTCAGTGACTGCTTCCCAAAGAAAGACCTCAAAGCAATCACAAAGTTTGTTTTTTTTGTATCGGGAGTCAAACTCAGGACCTTGCACCTGCCAGGCAGGCGCTGTGCCACTGAGCTATATCCCTGACCCCACAAAGATTTTTTGGTGTATAGAACATTTCAACTAGAAAGTGGCAAATAGCAGCTGGGTGTGGTGGGCAAGTAGTCCCAGATACTTGAGAAGGCAAGTAAGGAGGATTGCTTGAATCCAGGTGTTGATGACCAGCTTAGGCAACAACATAACAAGACCCCATGGGGTGAGGTGGCGGAGTGGCAAATTGCAGCAGCCCTTCATCACTTCCCTAAAGTAAACAACTGGCAAGACAAAATAAAAAATAGAATTTTAAAGAAAAGGTAGCAGATGATGAACTCAGAAGATATAATATTTTCTACAACTTTGGATGTTTGTGTTTATCCATAATGAAAATAAAAGATTCAAATTGTGGTTTTTCTGGATTGACTCATTTATTTATTTTTATTTTTTACTTTTCTTCTGGTACCAGGGATTGAATTTACGGCCTTGTGCTTGCTGGGCAGGCACTGCGCCGCTGAGCTAAATCCCCAGCCCCTGGATTGACTCATTTAAACTATCATAGGATGTGCAGCCACTGGGAGAGGTAGGGTTTCCTTTCACTGGCATTTCCCCCTTCTTTTTTGGTGTCAGGGAATACAGTCATTAATCTAGATGAAGAAACTAGTGAAATAAGAGGTATCAATATTTTTCACTCTCCTCAATTGCCCTTTCCTTCACTAAACTTTTCCAAATCCCCACTGAGATAGACTCTCTCCTTTTCCCATCACACACTGCTCATTCTCTGTGCAACATTTGCACAGCTGCTCACATTTTGTGTACTTTTTTGCATTCTGTCATCATGCCTGTTCTCTGTTGTATGTAAGGTTTCTGGGTTTAAATCTACCCATGTCATAATATACACTTTTTGCTGTCTTCTCTACCTCCAAGCACTTGCCAGCCTAGTGCTTCCTTTAAAACCTAACAGAGTTTATGCCTCAAATCTGTGGAGGCTGATGGTGGCTGTTTAAGAAGCTACTCATCTATTTTAATGCAGCACTTATGCTGCTTGTTCAATTGCCCATCATCATTTCATTCAAAGGCAGTGATTATTCATTCACAGCGCATTTACTGAGCTTCCACTATGAGCAAGTCACCATGCTAGGCACTCTGGAAGATATACAGAGATGAGTAAGATGTGTCTTATTTCTGTAGCAATTACTGATACACAATTCTTTCAGCAATTAATCATGTACTGCTTTGTGATGTCTCTTACGCTATCCAGAAAACATTCTTTAAATCCTGCTATTCTATTTGATTTTTTGCTTGTTAACGTCTTTACTCATTCAAATAGTTGCCAGACGTCTGTGATGTGACAAGCACTATTTCAACACCTGGGTTAGAAATGAAGAAATGATAGGCACTGCCATCCAAAAAGGTCAGACTGTAGTACAGAAAAGAACATGGAAATAGATCAATAATTATGACAACATGGCAAATGCTACTGGAATTCAAAAAAAAGGATACTCAAATTCTCAAGGGCATGAAGCAAGGCCTCACTAAAGAGGTGAAAACTCAGGCCTGGAAGGATAGTATAAAGTGGACATGGTGAAGCAGGGCATTCTAGATAAAGGGAATGTCCAGAGCAAAGGTACAGAGATGTGGAAAACATGGTGCATTCAGGAAATATATAGGTAAAGGCAGAACAGTCTCCTGGGAGATAAATTGGGGTTTGTGTTGGTGCATGTTAACAGGCAAAGGTGGACTTTATCCTTTAACAAGGAACTTTTCCCCTCTGATTACATGTATAGCAGCATATGCTCACTGTAAAAAAAACATCTAAACACTTGGAGGCATGTATAAAGTAGAAAATTAACCACTGGTCATGGCTTGAGTAAACTTTCAGATTATCTACAGATAAACTAATATTATAGATAACTGCAGGTAAACTAATATTATGGATAGTTAAGTTAGGTAGAAAGATTATAGGCAGTCAGATAGGACTATGCCCTCAAGGCAGTCAGTGAAGAAGATGAGAACACATTACACCTGTGGCTGGAGGCGTATCTGTTGAAGGCCAGCCCTCAAGATAAAGATGTAATGACCAGGCCTACATGCCTCCCTAAGGCATAAGCAATAAATTGAAGGTTATACTATAAGTGGTATCACCCGGTCAAATAAAGTCTAGGTAGACTTCAATCACCCGAGTGGGTGACCAGGATCTTATGATCCATCCCTTCCTTAAAAGGTCCTTGAATACTTGCTACACGACTGGCTTTCCCACTGGATTAATATTACCCAAGCAGCTATGCATGTAATCTTATTGGTTCATCATAGTTTTGACTCGTGTTGTACTTACCTCATAATTTTGCATCCATCTTGAGATTTGCTCTATAAAACTTTTTTTTTGAGAAGTAGGCTCTTTGGCAACCCACTTTTGGGTTCCCTCCCATTTCTCAGGAGCTATCTCTCTCAATAAATATTCCCTATTCTTAACCTCTGTTGTTCCTTAGAATGCATACTTTGATTTTGGGGAGCACGAACTCAGCATATCTGACATCTAATAAGTTGTGAGTCATATTTCCCCTATATCACTAACATTACCATTTAAAACGGGACTATGTTATACTTTTTCATTGATAAGTACTTCTTAGATATCATCCCATGGTAGTACATGCACATCTATTTTTGCTTTTAAAATGGTTGTATAGTTGGTAGTGTATTAGCAGGAAAGATTGATTATTGGAGCCAGACTTTGTGTTTGTGTGTTCACTCTTTCCACAAGCCACTTAACTAACCTATGCTTCAGTTACTTCCTCTGTAACATTAACGCATCAACGCTACATGTTGCATAGGGATTTTGTGAAGATCGAGTTAGTCAATACACGTAGAGTTGAGACTTGGGCCTGGTAGATGAAAACCACAGTGATGATTCCATTATTTATTTATTCAATATTCAAAGGGTGCTTTAAACAAGTGATATAATCTAGTTTTTTCTGGCACTTTTTGGGAATGATAAACAGGGAAGGAAGGAAGACTGGGGATCTTTTTGGGAGACTCTTGCAGTGTGGAAGATTGGCCGTTACTGAGGAAGGACGGCAAAAAGAAAACTCTGAAGACCAAATTTTTAGGAGACCAAATGCTACACTGTGTTGACTGCTGATGGCTAAGAAGAAAAGACAATCTTGTAAGTTCCACATTTTGGCTTAAGGGGACCATGTAGATGGTAATGCGATCTTTCCGTGTTCGTTGACAGGCGCAGCGTGGTTACTACGGGTGTAGGAACACAACATAGGGCAGCAACAGGATCTCTGCTCTAAGCGGCTCACATTCCAAAGGCCTTTATGACTGAGGACAGGTGCCCAACAAAGAGCAGACAAGTAAGTGCACAAGAGTTTCAATCTACCTTACATTTCTTCACCGAGTAGCAGGAGTCTAATAAATATTCAGGGACTTTAAAACTTACTGAGCCTTGTGCAAGTTTAACAATCTCCTATCATGATGACTGGGGAGCCCGGGATTCTTTCACAGCCGTAGCTGAGAGCCCGGAAAGTTATCCGCGTTCTCGAGCTCGCCACGGGGCAGGTCACAAGTTCAGTCGGGGGAGGCTGAACGCCTCGGCCCGAGGTCACACAAGCCCAAGCGCCGGGGCGGCCTCGAGGTGCTGGACCGGCCGTCCGGAGGCGCCGAGGCCGAGGTTTCCCGCGCCACTCCCGGGACGAGAGCGCGAGCGGCCCCTGTCGGCCGGCGGCGGTTGCGACCCGCGTCGCGAGGCACTTCCGGCGTGTGCCGGGGTGGCCGGATGACGTGGCTGAGTCAGAGGAAGAGGCTGGGAGGCCGGGGGGCGGGGAGGCTCGGCAGCGGCGGT